TAGTTCCTTCACAAAAGTTGTTCCTTACGTCCTAAGCTTCACAAACACTATATATATGCAGCTTATATGCACCTATAAACTATTCATAATTGAGTTTAAATCGACAGATTTGCCATATGATCCTAACTTGACGAAACGTCCGTAGAACTTTATAAAAACGATCATAAAAGAGTCCCAAGATGATTACCTTGGAAAACCAAGTATAAAGCCTGAAGAACTAGCAAGAACAACAAATTCCTATCTTCCAAGAATAGCTCCAAACACAACTAATAAAAGGGGGAAACGATTGCAAAGCGTAGAGATTGCGTTTCTAGGTACGAGGGCAAATTTTAACGGTAGAAATCGTTAAAAACACACCTTAATCACTCAAGAGCACCATGGAACCTTCTCTTCAGCTTTATTACTATTTTAGGACGAAAATGAAATGTTTTTAGGTCTGAAAAGTCGAATTTTCCGACTTATACTACTTGTTTGACCCGATCCGGTTCGCGACCCGATTTCAGCCTAGATAGTCCGCGGTAAAATAGTCATAACGTTTTACTCCGATGTAGGATTGATGTTAGGTGTTTTTGGCTGTGAACTAGACTCGTAGACCTGCGATTACGTATGTTGTGGGTCCCATAACTATTTATATATTGGGAGAAATGATCTGATACATTTGACCCAAAGTTTAGAAAATTTATTAGAGAAATTTACGATAACTTTTGGCGACCTTTATTTCGCAACTTGCTTGATTCCAAAACTTAACATGTGACTAGTGTGATATTATAATACATCATAACACATTATGTTTAGCATATTAGATACTCTTGGTCTTATCCCACATGTGTAAATTAACTTAAACCTTCCGAACGCGTGGGGTGCCACCCAAGCCATTTCTTTAACCACGAACCTTTGTTTAAGGGATTCCTTTGACCTACAGCTTTAGTTTAGTTCCTTGATATTACCACACATTTTTATTCTTATTCTCCCAATGTGCTACACCCAATCATATATACCTAATATAACCACGCCACGTTACGTATATTGCGTAAGAGAAAAAGAAAAAAACATGGGGCCTCACAGTCTCCCCCCTTAAGAACATTCGTCCGCGAATGGGTCAAGTCAATTCCTTGGTTTCATTTCTTTTCCACTAATACGTTATTTGCAAGGCTATATTTGTTACATTGCAGAGCATAAATCAAATTCTGAAGATTCTAACTACTAGGCTTCATATAGCTATCTCGCAATAAGAAATTTAAATTGCACTTTCAAGTCATTTAAAATCCAATTAAGTTGTTATAAAGGAATAATTTCCAATTATTTAAATGCAACTCACCTTAAGTCGTAAATAGGTGGGGGTACTTCTTCCTCATTTCCTCCTCAATTTCCCAGGTCACTTCCTCGATGTTGTTATTTCGCCATAACACTTTCACGGAAGTCACTTCTTTAGTTTGAAGCTTTCTTACCTGCCGATCTAAACTAGCTACTGGTACCTCTGCATAAGTTAAGTCTTCAGCAATGTGAATATCCTCCATGGGCTTAATACGTGAAGGATCTCCAATGCACTTCTGCAACATAGATACATGAAACACAGGATGGACTGCTTCCAATTCTGAAGGCGAATCAAGCTCGTATGCCACCCTACCAATCCTCCGAATAATCTTATACGGTCCAACATACCTGGGGCTGAGCTTTCCCTTCTTTCCAAATTGCATGATGCCCTTCATAGGCGATACTTTCAGAAAAACCCAATCTTCTACATCAAACTCTAAGTCTCATCGTCGAACATCTACATAAGACTTCTGCCGACTTTGTGCTGTACGCAACCGATCTCTAATAAGTTTTACCTTTTCCATTGCTTGCTGGACTAAATTAGGACCTAGAAACTCTGCTTCCCCGACCTCGAACCAACCGATCGACGACCTGCACTTCCGCCCGTATAGTGTTTCGTAAGGGGCCATCTGAATACTAGCTTGGAAGCTGTTATTATAAGCGAACTCAATAAGAGGTAGATGATCATCCCAACTTCCTTTAAAATCTAGCACGCAGGCACGTAACATATCCTTAACTGTCCGAATAGCCTGTCCATTAGTTTGCGGATGAAAAACAGTGCTAAGATTTACCTGCGTGCCTGGACCTTTCTGAAAAGATTTCCAAAAATGTGCTGTAAATTGAGCCCCTCGATCAGAGATAATAGATAATGGTACTCCATGAAGGCGAACAATCTCTCGAATGTAAAGCTTGGCATAATCCTCAACTGAATATGTCATCTTGACTGGTAGGAAATGAGCAGATTTTGTAAGTCTATCAATAATTACCCAAATAGAATCATACCTCCGTGGAGTGCGAGGCAAACCAGTGATGAAGTCCATATTTATCATGTCCCATTTCCATAATGGAAGTTCAATATACTGAGTTAGGCCTCCAGGCCTCTGATGTTCGACTTTAACTTGCTGGCATTTGGGACATTGGGCTACCATCTCCGCGATATCTTTTTTCATTCCATTCCACCAATAGATCTATCGAAGGTCCCGATACATCTTTGTCACTCCGGGGTAAACTGCATATCTAGAATATTGGGCCTCCAAAAGAATCTTGGCGCGAAGCTCTCCGCCTGTCGGTACACATAAGCGGCCTTGGTATCTAAGGACTCCATCACCAGTTAGCTCAAATAAAGGTTGTCGCTATTGTGGAATACTTTCCCTCAGTTTTATAAGCTCAGGATCCTCGTGTTGTCGCTCTTTCACTTCAGTAACAAAAGAAGATTTTGTAGTATTCTAAACGAGAATGCGTCCACCCTCTGCGTCTACCAAACGCACCTGCAAATTAGCTAGCTGGCATAGATATTTGGTCATCTTGACCTTATCAACTTCAACATGGCCTAGACTTCCCATGGACTTCCGGCTAAGGGCATCAGCAACAATATTAGCTTTGCCGGGATGATATAAAATATCAACATCATAGTCCTTTAGTAATTCTAGCCATCTTCTTTGTCGTAGGTTCAACTCCCTCTATTTAAATAAATACTAAAGGCTCTGGTGGTCGGTGAAAACATCAATATGAACCCCATATAGATAATGCCGCCAAATCTTTAGGGCGAAGACAACTGCAGCTAACTCAAGATCGTGCGTAGGATAGTTCTGTTCATGTTTCCACAACTGTCTAGAGGAGTACGCGATAACCTTACCATGCTGCATAAGAACACAACCTAGGCCAACTCTCGAGGCATCACAATATACAACATAACCCTCGGTGCCATCCGGAAGAGTCAAGACAGGTGCCGTCGTAAGCCTTTTCTTTAGCTCCTAAAAACATTGTTCACATGCCTCAGTCCACTGAAACTTAGCTCCCTTATGTGTCAGTTTCGTCAATGGTGTAGAGATAGAGGAAAATCCCTCCACAAACCTTTGGTAATATCCTGCCAAGCCTAAAAAGCTACGAACCTCTATCGGATTCAAGGGCCTCGGCTAAGTCATCACAGCTTCAATCTTTTGGCCATCAACCTTGATACCATCACCGGTAATAACATGACCAAGAAAAGCTACAGAAGTTAGCCAAAATTCACATTTAGAGAATTTAGCATATAACCTGTAGTCCTGGAGAGTCTGCAATACAGCTCGCACGTGGTCTGTATGCTCGGCTTCCGATAGTGAATATATCAGGATGTCATCAATAAACACAATCACAAATTCATCCAAGAATGGTTTGAATACCCAGTTCATAAGATCCATAAAGGCTGTTGGGGCATTTGTAAGCCCGAAAGACATGAGAAGGAATTCAAAATGGCCATACCTCGTCCTAAATGCTATTTTTGGGATATCAATATCCCTGACTCGTAGCTGATGATAACCAGATCGCAAGTCGATCTTCGAAAAGCATTTGGCACCTTGTAACTGGTCGAAAAAGTCATCAATCCGTGTAAGAGGATACTTATGCTTGATAGTGACTTTATTTAGTTGCCTGTAGTCAGTACACATCCGCAAGGAGCCATCTTTCTTTCAAACAAAGAGCACCGGAGCACCCCATGGGGATGTACTTGGCCTAATAAAGCCTTTATTGATCTAGTCCTTCAGTTGTTCCTTCAATTCCCTTAGCTCTGCAAGAGCCATTATGTAGGGAGGAATGGATATAGGTTGTGTATCAGGAAGCAAATCTATAGCGAAATCAATTTCCCTTTCGGTGGGAATTCCTGGAAGCTCGTCAGGGAATACCGTCAGGAATTCATTCACAATAGGAACCGACTAAAGAGTTGCTGGCTCCTTATCTATATCCCTGACATGAACCAGATGGTATATACAGTCTTTAGCAATAAACTTTCGAGCCGTAAGGTATGAAATAAACTTACCCTTGGGCGTGGCTGCATTACCTTTCTATTCAAGGACAGGCTCACTAGGAAAATGAAATCGAACCACCTTTGCACGACAATCAATATTAGCATAACAAGCTGCCAACCAATCCATATCCATAATGACATCGAGTTCTAGCATAAACAATTCAACTAAATCAACAGAGGTTGGACGGTCATTAATTAACATTGTACAACCTCGATAGACATGATTAACTACAATAGAGTCGCCAACTAGCGTAGACACCTCAACTGACTGTGGCAACAACTCAGATCTCATGTCAAGCTTACCAGCAATAAATGGAGTAATATATGAAAGTGTAGAGACGGGATCTATCAATGCATAAATGGCATGAGAATGTATTGTCAATATACCTGTGACAACATCTGGGGATGCCTCTGAATCCTGTCGGCCTGTGAGTGCATAAAAGCGGTTTTGGCCACCACTAGAACCTGAGGTGTCTCCTCCACCTCTATCCCTACCACGGCCCTGAGTAGACTGTGGACCTGGTCGAAGAGCACGGACTGAGGGCGAAGAGGCTGCTGTGGATCCTAAATGCTGAGCTGGTGCACCTCTCCCTAACCACGGGCACCGACTAATAAAATGTCCTGTCTATCCACAATAATAACATGACTCGAACCCTATCTACACTGCCCGGTGTGCAGCTTACCGTACTGAGTACATGGAGGAGTAGGCTGTCTCATTTGTGTAGAACACTCGTGTCGACGCCCCTCAGGCTGGCCTGAGCTCTGCCCCGATCCTGACTGAATATATCGATCATACCGCTGGCCCTGCATCTGTGCTGGGAAACTACCTGCTGACCGAGGTGGATATCGATGGAGTGGGGGCCTAAAATCACCCCGTGGCTCGCTATAAGACCCCATAGTATGATCCCTCTTACTCTGCTCCCTATCCCTACGAGTATCACGAATCCGACGGGAAAGGTCCTCTGTAGTCTGAGCGAAAGCCTGTATGCGGGAAATATCTACATCATCCAATAGGGATGCTACCCTACAATCTTTAATCAGATGATCCCCAAAACCATCCACATAATGATGAACTCTAGCCCTCATGGTATATACGATATCTGGTGCATACCTCGCTAAAGAATTAAACTTATGGCTATAATCCCTCACACTCATATCCCTCTGCTTAAGGTTAAAAAACTGGTCAAGACGGGCCTCCCGAACCTCCCGTGGCAAATAATGGGCTAAAAAGTCCTCAGAGAAGTCCTCCCACTCTGCTGGCGGAACATTAGGTCCTCTAGATCTCTCCCATGCCTCATACCATAGGACGACTACATCACGTAGTCGAAAAGAAGCCAACTCCACAGCCTCGGTGATGGAGGCATGCATCACCCTCAATACTCTATACATTTGGTGTTTAAAGTTTTGGGGATCCTCAGTGGAATTGGATCCTGTAAATAATGAAGGGGCCAAGTGAAGAAACTCTCGTACCGTCGAGCATCCTGTCCGATCTCTCTGGGCATCTGCTCCCGACTCTAGCTGTCGCTCATGAATAGAAACTATCCTAGTCAGCAACTGAACTGCCTCCCTCATCCACTGCTCCCCAATCTCTGATGGGGGAACAACATGTACTGGAGGTCCTGTGTCTCTAGCTACCATAGGTACTAATGGAACTGGTGAGGCTGGGGTACTGCATCTCTCGGGGCTCCAACACGTGCTGGGGAAGCTGAAACTAGGGGTACTGGAGACTCACTGTATGCCTCTAAGGGAAATCTATCCCTCTGACCTGGTGGGGAACAGCTGGTACCTTCCCCCGGATCCATACCTATCTCTCAATGTGCCATCTCCTGAGCGTAGGTAACCTGTTAGACAAGAAACACAAAGCACGATTTAGATTTCATATGTTCTTATAACTTCGCTCTATAGCACGATTTATTAATTGAAAGAAATGTAACCATTCCTAAATGCCTCATAGCCTCCTGATTATAAGTGTGGTTCACAATACACCCATAAGCAATACTCTACTAGACACGGCTTGTGAACTCCCTAGGATACGATCTGCTCTGATACCAAGTTTGTCATGCCCCAAACTAGGGGAGGCACGACTGGCACTCGATACTGTATTCGATCGAGTTAGCCACAAAACATACTAGCTAACTAAACTGGGAGCCCAACAAATCGGGCAACACAACATCTGAAATACTAAACCTAGACCATTAAGGTCATGACCTGAATAACAATAAGCCATATAAACAAAGGTAGACGAGCCAAAATAATAAAGTACTAGCTAGCCGACGAGGCCGCGATTGGAGACATACATGCCTACACACATATATATACATGACAAGCCTATGGGATGGAAATTGAAAGCTACAAAAAGAAACCCAGAATACTGTGTCCACAATAGCTTCTGAGTGTCATAAACACCGTTGAGACAAGGCCCCGACTATACCCAAACTGTATAACAAAAGTAACCATTCTATGAAAGCTCCAGGAAGAGGTGGAGCTTACCAACTCACAACTGAATCCCGAAAACCTAGCGGAGGGGTCGATCAGAGTCCCTACCTTGACCTGCACGCATGAAACAAAAATACAGTGTCCCCAGGCAACGGGACATCAGTACGAATAAAAATGTACTAGTATGTAAGGCAGATAGTAGAATCATACATAGCTGATAAAAAAAAACTAATGGAGATACCACCTGACACTGAAACTCTGATAGCCTCCATGGCCGACATCAGACTTCATAGTAATCAAATATGCATGGTATGCTCGTGTAATCGTATGTCGTGAATACATATATATTGATGCAAATGCATGACATACCCAACCAAATGCTAGCAATGGAGGTCTCTCCCGGTAGCTAACCGGTATCATATTGCCAACCTGTGGCCATCTGTACAATATATATAGTCTTTCGGGCAAATAGGCCCCTTACCTCNNNAATACATATATATTGATGCAAATGCATGACATACCCAACCAAATGCTAGCAATGGCGGTCTCTTCCGGTAGCTAACCGGTATCATATTGCCAACCTGTGGCCATCTGTACAATATATATAGTTTTTCGGGAAAATAGGCCCTTTACCTTCGATTATAGCTCGAAGTCCATGCATAATATGCCATGTATGATATGAACTTTGAATGCACATAATAGGCCATAACAAGAACTTTGCCAATCTTGGCTCATAGGTATTCTTATCCTCATGATCTCATAATCACCTTCGTATCGCATACAATTGTCTCGTGGAATCTCATATGTTTTCTTTTCTTTTGAATAAGCTTGAAAACTTAACTCGACTTTTAGAAAGATAACTTAACTCTGAAGATGTTCATAAAAAGCTTAAGGTGCTTTACTTAGTCCTTATACCTAATTTCTTGATATTTAGTAAAAGAAAGTATTTCAAAAATCAAGTGTTTTAGTAGTTTAAACATAAAAATTATATTTGAGATTTTTGGAAATCGACGTATCACTTTAGAGATTTTAAAATACACTTTAACAAGGAAGAAAGACTGATCGCAAATACTAAATGCCTTTATTTTTTTTGTCACACAACCCAAAGATGAATAAGAATTCATATATATAGACATATAGTAAAGAAAACCGACAAAATGACATATATAGATGTCGAATACCCTATTTAACCGAATGAGTGGAATATCAACCTAATAGCATCATGAAAATACTTTAGCTACAATCCCAATGCCTTTCACAGAAGGTCTTTCTAGCAATAGAATAGTAAAATATCACATTTGACGTCTTAGGAATTTCTCAGAATTCGTGCTAAAAGGAAGGACGGAGCTTAGCCTTAACATACCTTTCCAACGAACGTCTGAATGCCTGTAGTTCCTTCACAAAAGTTGTTCCTTACATCCTAAGCTTCACAAACACTATATATATGTAGCTTATATGCGCCGATAAACAGTTCATAATTGAGTTTAAATCGACAGATTTGCCATATTACCCTAACTTGACGAAACGTCCGTAGAACTTTGTAAAAATGATCATAAAAGAGTCCCAAGATGATTACCTTGGAAAACCAAGTATAAAGCCTGAAGAACCAGCAAGAACAACAAATTCCTATCTTCCAAGAATAGCTCCAAACACAGCTAATAGAAGGGGGAAACGATTGCAAAGCGTAGAGATTGCGTTTCTAGGCACGAGGGCAAATTTTAACGGTAGAAATCGTTAAAAATGCACCTTAATCACTCAAGAGCACCATGGAAACTTCTCTTCAGCTTTCTTACTGTTTTAGGATGAAAATGAAATGTTTTTAGGTCTAAAAAGTCGAATTTGCCGACTTATACTACTTGTTTGACCCGACCCGGTTCGCGACCAGGTTTTAGCCTGGACAGTCCGCGGTAAAACAGTCATAACATTTTACTCCGACGTCGGATTAATGCGAGGTGTTTTTGGTTGCGAACTAGACTCGTAGATCTTCGATTCTGTAGGTTGTGCGTCCCATAAATTTTTATATATTGGGAGAAATGATCTGATACATTTGACCCAAAGTTTAGAAAATTTATTAGAGAAATTTACGATAACTTTTGCCGACCTTTATTTCGCAACTTGCTTGATTCCAAACTTTAACATGTGACCAGTGTGATATTATAATACCTCATAACACATTATTATTAGCATATTAGACACTCTTAGTCTTAT